ATAATATATTGTAGGCTCCTGAGAGCCTTTTCCCTCTTGTGGGGATCTGGTGGGATCGTGGCAGACCATTCTTTTCACCTCCAGGCCCTGGTCTGGCTTCTCCTGCAGAGAAAGGAGCTGAGGGCATGTGGGAAGGGCAATGGGGAATCCCAAGGTTTCCCTTTCCTTTGCTCCCTGCAGGGCTGGAGGAGAACCCCCCAAAGCCCATCCTGGATACAGGGAACATCCTGAAACAGGGATACCTGGAGAAGAGATCCCGAGGTAAGACCTGGAATCACAGGGTAAGGTTTGGGGGTGCCCTGTCAGGATTGCCAATAATTCGACTTTTCAGGGGAAGAACAAGCAGGAAAACATGGGTGGTTTTTTTTCCCTGCAGATTTACAAAGGCCAAATGTGCAAATTTTCCTTCTCAGGGACAAGGAGAGGGCCTCGATTTTTTTTTCTCTTTTGCAGATCATCCAACTGCACAAAGATTAAAAACCCCCCCCAAAAAAATCGAATTAAACAGGCAGCCCAGCCCTCTGAGGCAAAATGTGCCCTTTTAACGAGCTAAAACCCCAGCAGCTGGGAGCATCACACACATTAAGGGCTCGAGATAAGGCCCCTGACTCAGCCTCGGGTTTATCTCCGTTTTTACCAACTCCTGGGAAAGCCACAAATTATTTCCTCATCACTCCGATTTTATCCTGATTTATTTACTCTGTGACAAGGTGGGAGGAGGCAAAAACAGCCCCTTTTTTTTTCTATCCCTCCTGGCCATCAGCTGAGTTTAGGACTTGGTGCTTGGTTTAGCTTCCTCCAGATACAGACTAAAACTTATTTTACTTACATATATATATATATAAAACATGTTCCTGCCCTTTTAGCATCACATCCATCTGAAACACGTGGTGAAAGGACGAAAATGACTGTTTTTCCCCTCTTTTGACGCCCTTTTCTTTGCCAGATCACAGCTTTTTTGGGGCAGAGTGGCACAAGAGGTGGTGTGTCCTCAACAGAAAGACCTTCTACTACTATGCCAACGAGAAAAGTGAGTGGTGAGAGAGACACACCTGCATTTGTTCCCAAAATATGGAGGGAAGGGGCTGGAAAAGAGAAAGGAAGAGCCTTTGCTGAAGGACTGGGAAGGCTGGGATTAATCCCTTATCAGGGTTCCAGAAAGGCAGAGCTCGGCTTGATTTCATTTTTTCCCCCCTTGATGGAGATGAAATGAGAAAAAAGGGGACAAGGAATGGAGCTGGGGGGGGGATAAAAGGCTGTTCCCAGTTTTCCATGAGCTCCAACCCCCGTGCCTGTATTTAATCCTCGTGCCAGTGGATGTCAATAGTTTGCTGTCGTGCTCCATCGGGTCCATCCCAACTGGGCTTCCCAGGATTCCAGGGGCAGGAAAAGGCCCTACAACCCCCCCTATCCAGGGGTTCCCACCCCCAGCAGGGAGGGGGTTAAACCCCGGGGGGGTCCGAGGGTGAGGAGGGTCTTTGTCCTCCTCCCCCGTCCTTTGTCTGAGGAGCTCCAGCGCTTTTTTGTTTTCCCAAACGAGCCTCCCAACTCCTCCCATCCCACCCCCTCGGGGTGTGAACTGCCAGGGGGGTGGGGGTTGAACCCCGGGGGTGAGGTTTGGTGATTTCTGGGGTTGTTTGCTCGGGGGTTTTGGAGGATGAGCAGTTGGAATCTCCCAAACCATCTCCAGGGGATGGAGCGAAGGAATCCTGGGCTCGGTGGGTTTCGGTGGGATGGAATTCTTGTGGAAACTCCCAAATTTAGCCCCTTTTTCTGCTTCCAGGCAAGCAACCAAGAGGCACCTTCTCCATCGAGCACTACAGTGCCCGGCTGGTCTCCCACCTCCGCAAAGATTCCCGGAAAAAATGCTGTTTTGAGTTAACCTGCCCTGGCAAACGCACCTACGAGGTAGGAAATGGGGGGAAACATGGAATTCTGGGCTGGGAATATAAGCCCACAGTCCTGGATGTGGGGGTTGAGGTGCAGGCTGGACCTGCAGGGTCGGGAGGGCTGGGAATGTTTAAATTCCTGGGGAAATCCCGATTTGTTTTTGGAGTGAGGGTGGCACAGGTTTTCCCAGAGAGGTGGTGGATTCCCAATCCCTGGGAACACCCGAGGTCGGGTTGGATGAGGCTCTGAGCAGCCTGGGCTGGCTGGGGGTGTCCCTCATTTCGGGGGTCGGTGGGTTTGGTGGCCTCCAAAGGTCACTTCCAACTCAAAAATAATTCCATAATTCTGCGATTCCACGGAAACCAAACCAGCAGCACCTCGGGAGGGGCTTCTCCCCACCTGAGCAGGGGGCACAGGGGAGGATCCCGGGCTCTCCCAAAGGATCAGGAGGAACAGGGAGTGGAACCAGTCGAGGATCGAGTTGGAAAAGCCCAATTTTAACCCAGCCCTGCAGAGCCAGGTTAAACATAAACCTCCAGTTTACTGAGCATCCAGGGGGGAGCCTAAAAATCCAATGCACAAAGTGGGAATGAGAGCCTGGATGGGCCTCGGGGAGGTTTGGGATGCAGGGCCCTGGGTGGGGGCGGCAGCAGAGCCCGTTCCGTGGGGACCGTGGTTTCCATCGGAATTATTTTAACCAATTGAGCTTGACAGGCTTCCTCTGGGGTGAGCCTGGCTTTGTCCTGCTGCTCCTTCCCTGCTTGGAACGGGGAGAGAAAGCCCTGGAATGGCTTTTCCCGCTGTCCCAGGGTGGACAATGGCAGAGCCGGGATGGCCATTCCCAGTTTCCAAAGGACTCCTCCCAACCCCCCCGGGCTGGGAACTCCTGCCGGGGGTGGGGGTTGAAGCCAAGGGATGAGGTTTGGTGGTTCCTGGGGTTGATGTTTAGTTGTTGGGGGTTTTTTGGGGGTGGGGGTGAGCAGCTGTCACCTTCCAAATCTTCTGCAGAAGACAACAGTGAAAAGGGAACTTGGGCTCAGTGGATTTCAGTGGGCTGAGATCAAATCCTTGTGTGGGGCTGAAATCCTTTTATAAGGTTGAAATTCTTTTATAGGGTTGAAATCCTTGTGTGAGACTGAAATCCTTTGTAGGACTGAAATCCTGTATAGGGCTGAAATCCTTTTACAGGGCTGAAATGATTTATAGAGCTGAAATTCTTTTATAGGGCTGAAATCCTTTATAGGGCTAAAATCCTTTTATGGGGCTGAAATCCTTGTGTGGGACTGAAATTCTTTTGTAGGGCTGAAATTCTTTTATAGGGCTGAAATCCTTGTGTGAGACTGAAATCCTTTATAGGGCTGAAATCCTTTTATAGGGCTGAAATCATTTATAGAGCTGAAATTCTTTTATAGGGCTGAAATCCTTGTGTGGGGCTGAAATCCTTTTATAGGGCTGAAACCCTTGTTCCAGCTGCAAATCCTCTTGCTCTCCCTCCAACCCAACCCCAGCCCAGTAACAGCTGCCCCTCTCTCCAGTTCACAGCCCCAAGCCCAGCAGAGGCTGAAGACTGGGTGGACCAGATCCAGTTCCTCCTCAAGGGTGAGTTTGGCCCCATCCAGCGCGTCCCGTTTCTTTGGGAAGATCCTTCCCACCCGGGAACGGTTTGACACCGACAACACCGAGACAAAACTTCCAGCCCTGCCTTTGGAAAAACCCTCTGGAAAGCAGGGGCGGCTCCCTTGAGGCACACACCTGGAATTTGGCTTTGTTCTCTTGGATTTCCCGGTTTTTCCGTGGAATTCGGCTTTGTTCTCTTGGATTTCCCGCTTTTTTCCTCGGGCTTTTCCTTTGTTTTGGCCAATTCTCGGCTCGTTTGCACCTCTTTTGTTTGTCCCCTCGGTGCTCCCGGGGGCAGTTCACACCTTGAGCGGGCACAGGGGTTGGTGTAGGGTTTCCCGCTGGCTGAAAGTGGGGGATTTGCTGGTTTTCACCCCGTTTTTTTTGCTCACCCCACCCCAGACCTGAGCTCCCTGACCATCCCGTACGAGGAGGAGGAGGAGGAGGAGGAAGAGCTCTACAACGACGTGGACAGCTCTGACTCCATGAACACCTCCCACAACACCACCCTGACCCAGGAGGAGCCCAACCTGGAGCTGGAAGGGGAGGACATCTACGAGGTCCTGCCAGGTGAGAACCCAAAATCCAAACCATCCTTTTCCTCTTCTCCCCCTGACCCAAAATCCAAACCATCCCTTTCCTCTTCTCCCCCTGACCCAAAATCCAAACCATCCCTTTCCTCTTCTCCCCCTGCCCCAAAATCCAAACCATCCCTTTCCTCTTCTCCCCCTGACCCAAAATCCAAACCACCCCTTTCCTCTTCTCCCCCTGACCCAAAATCCAAACCATTCCTTTCCTCTTCTCCCCTGCACGAGGGAGGAAACCTCGGCCACACCACACACTGATGGGAATGAACATCTCATGGCCCCAAAACCCGAAGGTTTCACCCCATTTCTTTGCTCAGGCTGGACCCCAAGAACAAACCCTCCCTGTTCTGGGGGGGTTCTCATCAGTAAATTCGGGTGAAGCAGCTTTTAGAGGTTTTGCTCCCTCTCAGCTCGAGTCAGATTGAGTTTGGTGAGAGTGGGATCTCTGGGCTGTGTTACCTGGAAAATCAGAGCTGAGCTGATGGAAATGCTCCCTCCTGGGCATGGCAGGCAGGGCTGTAACACAATTACTGCCCTGCCACCAGATGATAAAATAACTGCATTAAAGACAAGCTGGTGCCCTCTCACGAGGGCTGGACAGACCCCACAGGCTCAGAGGGTGACAGGCCTGCAACATTTCTGGCTCTGCCAACAGGAATCAGGGGGTGACACAGCCCAGGGCTCGGCCAGCAGGTCACCTGAGCCTGTTCTGCCTCTGCCCTGAGGGGGGGAACCCCACCCTGAGAGCATCCAGCAGTGTCTGAGTTCAGAGATGGAGAAAAAAAGAGATCCTTGTTTCTTCTTCCCTATTTCAGAACTTTCTGTCCAGGCTGGTCCTTAAAAAGCACCAGGAGGTTTTATTGTGCCCGAGACCTTCCCCTTGGAATTGCTGCCAGGGGGGAAGCAATGGCTTGTGGCATCCAGGCAGTGCTGGGAGCAGAGCTGGAGCTCCAGGACACACCCTCGGCCTGTGTCCATCTTCCCTTCCTCTTCCCTTCCTCTTCCCTTCCTCTTCCCTTCCTCTTCCCTTCCTCTTCCCTTCCTCTTCCCTTCCTCTTCCCTTCCTCTTCCCTTCCTCCAGCCAGGACCC